GCCTTTTTTTTTTTTTTTTTTTTTTAGTAATGTTTATACCAAGATCCGGTCTGGATCTGGCACTATTGCTGGATGCAGGGTAGCGGGTGCTGCGATCCCACTGCCTCCAGCTGAGACAGTGCTCTATACCCAACTGGTTGAAGCCTCATCTACATGAATGAGCGTGACACCTAGCACAGCCATGCTCCCCACTCATGAGGATGATAGAAACATGGGGCAGTGCTTCTTTTACTGGAGGCTTTTGGCAAAATGGGTTTAGCTGTCTCACACCTACTAGAAAAAAAAGAGACAGATGCCCAATCTCACACTGCTCAGGACTGTGGTCTGAGGAGATACAGAAACCAGGAGAGAATGTTCACAGGAGCTAATCACCCCTCCCCTCTGGAAAATGAATTCAGCTTCTGGAATCCACTGAGGTAAGCACAGCAGCAACTATCTGCATTCCTTGGTATAAAACCTGTGCCTTGCTACGTTTACAGTATATATTAGCTTTATATTATTCATAAGCATCATTGTAGGAGTCTAAAGAAACATTGTATTACTGCAAAATGGACCTAACAAACAAGATGGCCTGCTTAATGAGTGAGGAAGACTCCACACCCAGATGACTTCCAGGTAATGATGGGCAAGGGAAAGGATGAAGCTGTGTCGAGTGGGGTAGTTTGCAGTCTTTTCCTTTTTCATGGATGGTGGGGGTAGATCTCACCTTCTTCAGCCAGCTCCTTGTTTAAGATGAGTTTCCCATGTCGGAGGTAGTTCAGGATTGGACCAAAATAGGTGGGATCCCTGTCGATGAGATATGCCCCTGTCTCATCCTGTCAAACACAAAAAGGAGTCAAGCTATAAGTAACGAATGATTAAACTGAACCAGAAAAGCTTGGAGGAGGGAGTGTGGGCATGAAAATGAGGGTTTCCTTTGACTAAAAAAAAAAAAAAAAAGAATGCATCATCACAGTTGTTTCTAAAGCTCGTAGGTCACAGAACCTTACTGTAACTCAGGGATAGGCAACGTTTTTTTGGCCGGAGTGTCAAAAAACCCATATATGTCTACCTTGGAAGGTGCTGGAGTGCCGACATGCCGGAGCCCAGAGCAGCTGTTTGCAGCCTCCCGGCTGCAGCCGGCCCACAGAGCCCGGTCTGCTTGCAGCCTCTCAGCCACTTAAAAAAGTGTTTTTAATTTAAATCAGATTGTTTTGACTTAATCGCATGTTTTGATTTTTTTTATTACGATGCTTTAAAAAACACTACATACAGTTTTAAGATATATTAAAAGCTCAAAGATATCATCATGGGGATTATAACTTCTAACTATATACTATGTGATAATATATTCATGTAACCTTTTTAGAAAAGTTTTATGAATAGGTCACAACAGGCCATGGACTATATTAGGGGCCAAATCTTATGGAGTTCCCAGAGACGACTCTATAGATCAGTAAAGATTAAAGAAAACCACTCTACCCAATGGGACTCCATGCTCAGTATAGAAGATCCCATTAAGCATCTCTGTGATGCTTAGTTTCAGTTCGCAAACCGTGGGTTTGTCTCTCCAGAGATAACATCTTTGTTAACAGCAGTATATGGAGATAAGAGACCCGATTACCTATCCTCAGCCCTCTTGTCTCTCTGCAAGTTTGTGGACACAGAGTCAAGCCCTTAACTTGCTATAAAAAGTGCAAAGTTTCAAGAAGTTAAATGAATAAAGGATATCAAACAACAAGAACGCACTTTTTGTAGAAAACAATGAGTAAGTCAGGGCTTCCTGACCAGTGATTTCAACCATGATTTAAATCAAATCCACCCTGGTGAATAGGTCAGAACTGCTCCTACAGCAACAAACTATTGACATGGGTTGGAATGTTTCTACATTAACGTAAACACCTGTGGTGTTTTATCGAGAGAGTTCTCTCCCCCACAATATATCATAACTTCAGGACGTAAATTGTATACACTTACTCCCAGGGAGAAATCTTACTTAAATCAATGTGATTACTCCTATGAGTGCTTCCTTAAGAATGCCCTGAATGTAAACTTAACAAGGTAATGGACAGCAATAAACAATTGTTGATGCCAGTTAGTGAGGGTGAGGGTGGTAAGATATGCTTGTCCTGAGGTGCCAATACTCAGTGTGCAAACGTCTTTAAAAATTCCACTCCAAAGCCCAAATTCCCAGCTAGACCCAAGCTGGCAGATCTGCACTCCCAACAAATCACTTTAAAGACATGTGCTTTTTTTCCTCGTGTACAGCAAAAACAAATGACCAAAGACAAGACAAACCAGTGCTTATTCTGCCTGATAAGGGCAAATGTTCTTATCACCATGTGAAACCCCATGGCCTTGTTTGGTCAGTCTGCTCCTTGTTTTCAGACCAGTTAATGACAAAGACTGCCTTTGAGGAAATTAAACAAGAAGTAGTATTCTAAACAATGCAGGCCTCACTGTAGCTAATTAACGGTTTGCAACTTCTCTGGAAAACAAGTTGACTTCCTTGCCCAGAAAGCAACATCTGACTCTAAAAAATCTCCTTATTTTCCCATGTCTTAAAATCCATCTAGGCATAAACTGTTGTTATAACCTAGGGCTTTTCCCAGTTAAAAGGCCTTGTATAATACTTACAAAATGACCAATAATTAACCATTGGAAGCATATCCCTTGAGCTGAGTTTAAACTGTTGACACAAGTAAAATAGCAGCACAGCCCATTTTGAAACATACTTTGGAGGAACAAGGATTAGCAATCATTACGTGTGTCACAATATTGTTTTCAAACATCATAGAATAGTGCCTCTCCTTTGGCTTATTATCAGAGCAATCTAGGTGCAGGAGATAAAGAGTCTGTTTTACTGCAGAGCTGTCTACAATATTTTCTGGAGCCTCTCTTGCTCTATGCCCAGTGAACTACAACAGAGGCCATTATAAACAGGTTACAGACTGCTGAGATGTAGGAGACTGTATCTAAGCTGTCTATAAAGCATCTGATGCTTGTATCCTCTAGAGAAAAGGCTGTGGTTTCAAAGTAGAGATTTCTCTGTAATGTGCCTGGAGTGGATAAGAAGCAAGTTCAGAGAAAAATAAACACCACACATTTAATAAATGGTAAAGGCAATGCAGAAGTCATCAAAGAAAAGGAGGTATTTTAAATGCATTTCTAGGCTGAGGGATTAATATTCAGTAAAAAGTGGGAGGCACAGGGTCTTTTCAAAATTGCTAATACCTTTCCTTTACATAGCATGGCTTGGATAGAGATGATCCTACCTCAGGCAGGAGGCTGGACTAGATGAGCTCTGGAGGTCCCTTTCAGCCTGACTTCTCTATGATCCTGCGATTCCCAGCACACCCTCGGCTGCCTGTCAGTCACCACAGGAAGTTATGATGTGAAGACTTGCCTTTTTGTGTAACAAACATCTGCCTGTACTGTGCATGGGAGGGGAGGGGGGACTAGACAAATTTGCTGTGAGGAGGCACAGCTGGGGCAACCCCACCCCCCTGAAACAACACAGGTAAGACTTCCTGGGGTAGGAGGCTAGACTTGATGATGTTCACAGTCCCTTCCAGCTCTAACGTCTATGAAATCTATGGAAACAGCAGGTTCACATGCGTGTCTTCCTACCCTGCACAGCAGAGGTGGCGAAGAAAAGGTCTAGGTTTGTAGCCCAGCGGGTGGATGTGATGGGGACAGGGTTCATACCAGCGGACAAATAGCTCTCTTAAAGTTTGCGTGTCAAGGGCCAGGCCCCCTTCCCGGCACAGGAGCTAGAGCAAAGCCTAAAGCACGGTACAGGTGCCAGCGAGCTACATGCGAACAGTACCCGCAATACAAAATCGGACAGTGCTGGAAGACCCTGGCCCCTCGTTGTGTCTGGGTTTTGTGGACATTAGGGCTGGAAGGGACCTCGCGAGATCATCGGCGGTGTTCAAAAGGGAGGCAGGGCCTGACCCTGCACCCTGTGACGGCATCCCCCTGCAACCAGAGGGCCGGAGGGGCTGGACCGGGCCAGGGGCACGAAGCATCTCGACAAGGAGGGGACGGGCTCCGCAGCCCCTCACCTTGTCCGACCCCAGCTCGGGCCCGTCCTGGCAGCAGAGGCGGCAAAGGAAGGACTTGGGCTCGCGGCACAGCGTCTGCCGGGTGCTCACGAAGTAGGTGCCACCCACGTTGAGCCGGACCCACTTGGAGCCGGTGCTGGGCCGGTCGGCGGCGGGCGGCTCGGCACTGCGCGGGGACAGTCCCCCCCCGGCGCA